ATCATCCGCTATACTATAATGGACCGGAAGCCGTCGTAATATTAGTACGCTAACTCTACGCCGCTATAATACCCGTATAGCGCTTCTATCGCCTAGCACTAACCTACTTTATATCCGAAGTCAAGACACTTAAAGCACCGTTATAAGGAGATCTCGGGGTTATAGGGTTCGTCATTATAGTGTCCATAATTAAAGAAGACTCTCCTTTTTACTAGTCGCTCCGCGTCCTTAGGGCGGGCGACCTTAATAGTTAGTAGCGCTATCCGCGCTATGTTATTCCTAGGTTTCCTAGCCTTAATCCGGGTAATCGCCACGTTATTCTATAGCCGAAGTTCTTATAGCGCTATATCGGGGTTATAAGTTAATAGCTATACTATCGGTATTCCTTTTACTATAACTTAGTATATTTTCTCGTGTATTATAGCTCCTTTACCGAATACGCCTTTAACCTAGTTATTCGTGTTCGCTATCCACTATTCGTTCCTATACTTAAATATAAGAATTATATCGCCGCTTAGGAGTTATTACGCGGCTATTATATCTATATGGTGGGTAACTTAATTAACTGCCTTAGTAATCTCTTATAGGGTTCGGCTTTTAAGGTTAGTCTTAGTATCTCCGTATCGGACTATTAGCTCTTGGGCGTATCGGGTGGGTATAACCTTTACCGGTATTATCTCGATATATTAGCGCTACACGGGCGTGCTCCCTACTACCTAGACGTAGGTCTTAGGTCCTATTACTCCGAGTAATTCCGTTAGTATACCCTTAATCGCTTATTAGATTATATCAGTAAGCCCTTTAACCGTAAAGAGGGGTATATCGCTACCGGGTTATTAGCGTAGCGGCTTCCCTATAATAGTCTTATAGTGTTACGTTTAAAGGATCTTCTATACTAGCTTTAGCGCCTTATCGGCGCTTACCCTATTAGCTAGTAGTCCGGAAAATTAGGTATATAGTTTATATAGTACGCCTTCGGTACGCCCGCTTAGTGCCTAGGATTTTTAGGGCTTTCCCGGGGCTACGCACCCCGGGTTAGTTCTAGTTATCGTATTCTAGGCGCTTTATAGTAGTATACCGGTATAGTGTTCGGTTAGCCCTACGGGCCGCTCTATAGTATATAACTCACCACGCCCTCTACGGTCTCGCTACGATATCGGTCTCCGGTGCTTTTAAGAGCGTAGAGTCTAAATCCGATATTAGAATTGATTTTATCGATAATACGGCACCTTAGGGGCACTTTCGGCTTAACGATACTCGTTCGCTATAGTGC